TCTTAAACACGTGTTTCGCCTATCCTGTTTGCGCATTAAACCGTGCTTGTGAAAAAGCATTTTTATTTTTTAAAACGCGGCGTTTTTACACTTCAACACGCGAGCCCGCCGATCTAAAATTACTCCGCTGTGCTTCCCCGCTCGCCGAGGGCTTTTAAAATCGTCGGTAACCGCGATCGCGAAGGTGAGAAACCCCAAACCCACCCCTCCAAGCCACGCCCCGCGTGACGTGCGTTGGGACACGGGGGGTGGGATTCCTCTGTCTTCAGCTGGTTTAGCAGGTGATCTGATTTAGTCGCGTAAGCGTAAAAAAATCGATGTGGAGTCATCGATTCATTTAACCGATCGGATAGCGCGGCTCCTGGGGGTTTTGTTTTTTCCGCCCAAATAGTTCCCGGGTCTCCGGCCGACCCTCGAGTAGGGGGCACGTCCCGTGACCCGGCAGTAGCCGCAGCCATTGCGGGGAGGGTATACAGGACGTGGTGTGCCGAGCGTGGGGATAACGTCCGTGGCTCCGACCCAGACACGCCTGGCCGACGTTAATTTCTGCATAAACTGCGCTCCTCAAAGTGCCCCATCAGCTGTTCCGTTGGCCCCGCTCACAATCCGCTGGGATTACTCTGCTCAGCGCTGTGTTAAGTCTGTCAGCGGTTTTGATATTAGACGAGTCTCTGATTCACTGTAAGAGTGCAGTGACAGTTTTGTAAACATTCTTTCATGGACTTGCCCCTGCCTCCTACCTCTCTCAGCTCATCCTACTCCCCTCCACGCACTCTCCTACCTTTCCCCTCTCATCTCACCCCACTCCCCTCCACGCACTCTCCTACCTTTCCCCTCTCATCTCACTCCACTCCCCTCCACGCTCTCTCCTGCCTCTCCCTTCTCATCTCACTCCACTCCCCTCCACGCTCTCTCCTACTTCTCCCCTCTCACCCCACTCTACTCCCCTCCACGCACTCTCCTGCCTATCCCCTCTCATCTCACTCCACTCCCCTCCACGCTCTCTCCTGACTCTCCCCTCTCATCTCACTCTACTCCCCTCCACACACTCTCCTACCTCTCCCTTCTCATCTCACTCCACTCCCCTCCACGCTCTCTCCTGCCTCTCCCCTCTCATCTCACTCCACTCCCCTCCACGCTCTCTCCTGACTCTCCCATCTCATCTCACTCTACTCCCCTCCACGCTCTCTCCTACCTCTCCCCTCTCATCTCACTCCACTCCCCCCCACACACTCTCCTGACTCTCCCCTCACATCTCACTCCACTCCCCTCCACACACTCTCCTACCTTTCCCCTCTCATCTCACTCCACTCCCCTCCACGCTCTCTCCTGACTCTCCCCTCTCATCTCACTCCACTCCCCTCCACACACTCTCCTACCTTTCCCCTCTCATCTCACTCCACTCCCCTCCACGCTCTCTCCTGACTCTCCCCTCTCATCTCACTCTACTCCCCTACACGCACTCACCTGCCTCCCCGCTATCATCTCACTCCACTCCCCTCCACGCACTCACCTACCTCTCCCCTCTCATCCCACCCAACTCCACTCTCATCTCACTCCACTCCCCTCCACTCACTCTCCTGACTCTCCCCTCTCATCTCACTCCACTCCCCTCCACGCTCTCTCCTGACTCTCCCCTCTCATCTCACTCCACTCCCCTCCACTCACTCTCCTGACTCTCCCCTCTCATCTCACTCCACTCCCCTCCACGCTCTCTCCTGACTCTCCCCTCTCATCTCACTCCACTCCCCTCCACGCTCTCTCCTGACTCTCCCCTCTCATCTCACTCCACTCCCCTCCACGCTCTCTCCTGACTCTCCCCTCTCATCTCACTCCACTCCCCTCCACGCTCTCTCCTGCCTCTCCCCTCTCATCTCACTCCACTCCCCTCCACGCTCTCTCCTGCCTCTCCCCTCTCATCTCACTCCACTCCCCTCCACGCTCTCTCCTGACTCTCCCCTCTCATCTCACTCCACTCCCCTCCACGCTCTCTCCTGCCTCTCCCCTCTCATCTCACTCCACTCCCCTCCACGCTCTCTCCTGACTCTCCCCTCTCATCTCACTCTACTCCCCTCCACGCTCTCTCCTACCTCCCCCCTCTCATCTCACTCCACTCCCCCCCACACACTCTCCTGACTCTCCCCTCACATCTCACTCCACTCCCCTCCACACACTCTCCTACCTCTCCCCTCTCATCTCACTCCACTCCCCTCCACGCTCTCTCCTGCCTCTCCCCTCTCATCTCACTCCACTCCCCTCCACGCTCTCTCCTGACTCTCCCCTCTCATCTCACTCCACTCCCCTCCACGCTCTCTCCTACCTCTCCCCTCTCATCTCACTCCACTCCCCCCCACACACTCTCCTGACTCTCCCCTCACATCTCACTCCACTCCCCTCCACACACTCTCCTACCTCTCCCCTCTCATCTCACTCCACTCCCCTCCACGCTCTCTCCTGCCTCTCCCCTCTCACCCCACTCCCCTGCACACACTCACCTGCCTCCCCGCTATCATCTCACTCCCCTCACCGACGCGATGCTGTTTCCGATTCAGCAGCAATAGAGGCCTCCTCCTCGCAAAGCCGCCCACGGTCTTCATCAAACCTTCGTTTCATGGTCGCTCCTGTCTCAGCTTCTACTTCCACTCTCCAGAATTCTCCTCCTCCTCGAACGCCGTGCGGTTGAGACCCTGCCATTCCAAGTTCACGGCGAGACCTAAGACCCCTTTTGATTTACACTCGCATTGACGATCATTTATTCGTCTTCCTCCTTGCGAAGCGCCTGGAAGCAGTGCCGGATTAAGCTAGTGCGAGGCCTGTAGCATATGTTATAAAGGAGCCCTACATTAACAAAAAAAACACGCAAATATTAAAACGCACGCATTTTTTACTTGCATAGTAAAGTAATTATATTTTTTTCATTTGTTGGTACAGCCAGATGATACGACAAATCGCTAACCTTAAACATCCGGTCGTTCATAAAAGTTTAAGGCGGTACAGTACTATAGTAATAGAGCAAGTGCAGAATCACTGAACCGGAATTGATAGCTTGAAAGTATTTAGCGTGGGGCCCTTGAAAGCGCGGGGCCCGTAGCTACTACTACATATGTAGCTACTTGTGCTACTGGGATAATCCACCACTGGCCTGGAGGCGCGATCGTATTTAGACACTACTATAAATGTTTACTTGCGTTGTAGTGTCAGCCGATAATCGCGATTTTTTTTTAGTTAGATCGCGTAAATACATAAGTGATTTTTTTTTGGGGGGGGGGGTTAGCTCGCGTCAATATTGACACGATCTAACCCCCCCCCCAAAAAAAAACCTCTTGTGGGTAATATTTGTCGCGAAAGCCTGCTGCGTGTCAGACCGCTGTCAGCCGAGTTGACGAATAGGCCGTGGAATTTTAGTCAAGCCTGAGCCTGTCCTCTGTGTGTGGGTCTCGTGGAGAAATTTATGTCAAGTGCAGCCGACTCGAGCAGTCGGAACTTCAGTCGGACACTCACGGTTATTCTTACGCACCGTATGTAGCCAACCGTGGTAATCGGAGGTGCAGAGTCTATGGGTAGTGGTGAGTCTATGGGCAGTGTTGAGTCTATGGGCAGTGTTGAGTCTATGGGTAGTGTTGAGTCTATGGGTAGTGTTAGTCTATGGGCAGTGTTGAGTCTATGGGTAGTGTTGAGTCTATGGGCAGTGTTAGTCTATGGGCAGTGTCTATGGGCAGTGTTGAATCTATGGGCAGTGTTGAGTCTATGGGCAGAGTCTATGGCCACACGTGTGTATGTGTGATGGACTTGGTTTGCACCGTACGTAGCCAACCGCGCTCATCGGAGAGTGCGGGGGTGGAGGACAACAAAAATTCAGTGCAGAGGCTTCTTGGCGCTAATTTCCACCCCCACCCCATCCCCCATACGATTATCTGAGCCAATTGGTGTAAACTCCACAAGCCCGTTACGTACGTACGTATGTACGTATCCAATTGCCGCGTTTGGTGTCCTGCAGTGTCCGGTGAAGTTACCGCATTGTCCAGTCGTGCGGTTCGCCGCCGCCGGCGGCAGTGATCCGAGCGAGCCTGACTGCCGACGAGAACCTTGAACTGTTGACGCCGTTTTTTTGTGTTTTTATGCCTGCATCAAACGAAATGTTCGCCGCCGCTCCGATGCACCCCCCCAAGGAGGCCGTGTGGGCAATGGCGTGCGTAGGAAATACTATTAACACGCATAATAGAGGAGGTTTTTTGTTCTTTCAAATTTGCCTGTCGCCTGATGAAGCTGGTTGTAATTACTGGCAAAACGTCGTACTCAGAATGTAAATGTTGTGGCTTGGCTCTCCAACACACCGGTGTGCTATACTAGTACACTATACACGACACTATCCACTACACGACTATACACTACACTACTATGCACTATACTATATACTACACTACTGCAGTATACACCAGTGCTGTACTAGTAACGAATTGGCCACGTTCTGTTTACGTGACAACCCTTACTAGTTGGCTGTGTCGGGTGGTGGCGGGTTCTAACGACACGTATATTCACGCGATGTAACCCAAAAAAACACTTTCAAGGGACAGATGGACGGACGGACAGACAGACAGACGCACAGACAGACAGACAGAGCGATGGAAACAGACAGATGGACAGACGAAACGAATGCGTAGAGATACACACAGACAGATGGACAGGCAAAACGAATGGCCGGGCAAGCGAATGGACGGACAAAATGAATGGACGGACAGAGAGATGGATTGAGAGAGAGAGAGACACAGACAGATGGACGGACAAGGCAAATACTAAACACTTGGGTTGACGAATACATTCATTTTTTTTATTTAAAGCTTTCGTGACTGCAGGGATTCATATTCTTGGTTCTTTCGGTAAATAATATATTTGTATTATTTTATTGTTTCCCTTCTACGTGACTTCACCGAAAGAACCAAGAATAACATTCATTTTTGTTGCGGATGTTGCTGACAAAGCGAGCGCTGCACCCCGCGCAGGCTCCACGCCGGCTGGGCCTGCAGGCCGCCACGTGCTCCCGGCGTCGCGATGGCCTCTCAGCGCCGCCCCCCCCTCCTCTTCGCGACCTCGTCATCGTCGTCATCGTCGTCATCATCGTCGTCGTCGGAGCCGGGAGTCAAGTCTGTGCTGGGAGGAGAGGACGGGGGGCACTCCCTGCCCAGACTGCCCGTACCCCCCCTGCGCCAAACCCTGGAGCGATACCTTAAGGTGAGGGGGTGGGATTATATTTTACATTATTATTGTTATTAATGATTGCAAACTCGCCAAGCCTACGGGACGTCTGGCAAAAAAAAACATCGGCAGGCCGCGGCGCGCACGGAATCCTTTGGTACGAGTCGTGGTGGGCTTACCGCAAGGTCAGACCGTGGTCACGACACACAAAGTGCTCGCAACAAATGAACCACAACGCCTCGCTCGATGTCGTCAAGAAGCATGAACCTTCGTGACGCGACACTCCGGTCGGCCTCGCGGAAGGTTTTGGCCAATCGCGGTCACCGCTGCATCGCGTGGCGCTTTCGGGATTCGCTTCTGCGGCCGTCTGGAACGTTCTCCCTTACGATATTAGGAAGCCACTGGCCGCTTTGCACTTTTAAAATTTCGATTGCAAACTCATTTATTTTAGAACTGTGATTATTTTCTTGTACCTGCACCCGCACATCTTATTAGTGCGGTTGTCTATAGACTCAACACTACCCATAGACTCAACACTGCTCATAGACTCAACACTGCACCATAGACTCAACACTGCCCATAGACTCAACACTGCCCATAGACTCAACACTGCCCATAGGCTCAACACTACCCATAGACTCAACACTGCCCATAGACTCAACACTGCCCATAGACTCAACACTGCACCATAGACTCAACACTGCACCATAGACTCAACACTGCCCATAGACTCAACACTACCCATAGACTCAACACTACCCATATACTCAACACTGCCCATAGACTCAACACTACCCATAGACTCAACACTGCCTATAGACTCAACACTGCCTATAGACTCAACACTGCCCATAGGCTCAACACTGCCCATAGACTCAACACTGCACCATAGACTCAACACTACCCATAGACTCAACACTGCCCATAGACTCAACACTGCACCATAGACTCAACACTACCCATAGACTCAACACTGCCCATAGACGCAACACTACCCATAGACTCAACACTGCTCATAGACTCAACACTACCCATAGACTCAACACTGCCCATAGACTCAACACTGCCCATAGACTCAACACTACCCATAGACTCAACACTGCCCATAGACTCAACACTGCCCATAGACTCAACACTGCCCATAGACTCAACACTGCCCATAGACTCAACACTACCCATAGACTCAACACTACCCATAGACTCAACACTGCCCATAGACTCAACACTACCCATAGACTCAACACTGCCCATAGACTCAACACTACCCATAGACTCAACACTGCCCATAGACTCAACACTGCCCATAGACTCAACACTACCCATAGACTCAACACTGCCCATAGACTCAACACTGCCCACAGACTCAACACTACCCATAGACTCAACACTACCCATAGACTCAACACCGCCCATAGACTCGACACTGCACCATAGACTCAACACTACCCATTGACTCAACACTGCCCATAGACTCAACACTACCCATAGACTCAACACTGCCCATAGACTCAACACTGCCCATAGACTCAACACTACCCATAGACTCAACACTACCCATAGACTCAACACTGCCCATAGACTCAACACTGCCCATAGACTCAACACTGCCCATAGACTCAACACTACCCATAGACTCAACACTGCACCATAGTCTCAACACTACCCATAGACTCAACACTGCCCATAGACTCAACACTGCCCATAGACTCAACACTGCCCATAGACTCAACACTGCCCATAGACTCGACACTGCCCATAGACTCGACACTGCACCATAGACTCAACACTACCCATAGACTCGACACTGCCCATAGACTCAACACTACCCATAGACTCAACACTGCCCATAGACTCAACACTGCACCATAGACTCAACACTACCCATAGACTCAACACTGCCCATAGACTCAACACTGTCCATAGACTCAACACTGCCGATAGACTCAATACTGCACCATAGACTCAACACTACCCATAGACTCAACACTGCCCATAGACTCAACACTGCCCATAGACTCAACACTGCCCATAGACTCAACACTGCCCATAGACTCAATACTGCCCCATAGACTCAATACTGCATCATAGACTCAACATTGCCCATAGACTCAACATTGCCCATAGACTCAACACTACCCATAGACTCAACACTGCCCATAGACTCAACATTGCCCATAGACTCAACACTGCCCATAGACTCAACACTGCCCATAGACTCAGCACTACCCATAGACTCAACACTACCCATAGACTCAACACTGCACCATAGACTCAACACTACCCATAGACTCAACACTGCCCATAGACTCAACACTCCCCATTGACTCAACACTGCCCATAGACTCAACACTGCCCATAAACTCAACACTGCCCATAGACTCAACACTCCCCATAGACTCAACACTGCCCATAGACTCAACACTGCCCATAGACTCAACACTGCCCATAGACTCAACATTGCCCATAGACTCAACACTACCCATAGACTCAACACTGCCCATAGACTCAACATTGCCCATAGACTCAACACTGCCCATAGACTCAACACTGCCCATAGACTCAACACTGCACCATAGACTCAACACTACCCATACACTCAACACTGCCCCATAGACTCAATACTGCATCATAGACTCAACATTGCCCATAGACTCAACACTGCCCATAGACTCAACACTGCCCATAGACTCAACATTGCCCATAGACTCAACATTGCCCATAGACTCAACACTGCCCATAGACTCAACACTGCCCATAGACTCAACACTGCACCATAGACTCAACACTGCACCATAGACTCAACACTACCCATAGACTCAACACTGCCCATAGACTCAACACTCCCCATTGACTCAACACTGCCCATAGACTCAACACTGCCCATAAACTCAACACTGCCCATAGACTCAACACTCCCCATAGACTCAACACTGCCCATAGACTCAACACTGCCCATAGACTCAACACTGCCCATAGACTCAACATTGCCCATAGACTCAACACTACCCATAGACTCAACACTGCCCATAGACTCAACATTGCCCATAGACTCAACACTGCCCATAGACTCAACACTGCCCATAGACTCAACACTGCACCATAGACTCAACACTACCCATAGACTCAACACTGCCCCATAGACTCAATACTGCATCATAGACTCAACATTGCCCATAGACTCAACACTGCCCATAGACTCAACACTGCCCATAGACTCAACATTGCCCATAGACTCAACATTGCCCATAGACTCAACACTGCTCATAGACTCAACACTGCACCATAGACTCAACACTGCCCATAGACTCAACACTGCCCATAGACTCAACACTGCCCATAGGCTCAACACTACCCATAGACTCAACACTGCCCATAGACTCAACACTGCCCATAGACTCAACACTGCACCATAGACTCAACACTGCACCATAGACTCAACACTGCCCATAGACTCAACACTACCCATAGACTCAACACTACCCATATACTCAACACTGCCCATAGACTCAACACTACCCATAGACTCAACACTGCCTATAGACTCAACACTGCCTATAGACTCAACACTGCCCATAGGCTCAACACTGCCCATAGACTCAACACTGCACCATAGACTCAACACTACCCATAGACTCAACACTGCCCATAGACTCAACACTGCACCATAGACTCAACACTACCCATAGACTCAACACTGCCCATAGACGCAACACTACCCATAGACTCAACACTGCCCATAGACTCAACACTACCCATAGACTCAACACTGCCCATAGACTCAACACTGCCCATAGACTCAACACTACCCATAGACTCAACACTGCCCATAGACTCAACACTGCCCATAGACTCAACACTGCCCATAGACTCAACACTGCCCATAGACTCAACACTACCCATAGACTCAACACTACCCATAGACTCAACACTGCCCATAGACTCAACACTACCCATAGACTCAACACTGCCCATAGACTCAACACTACCCATAGACTCAACACTGCCCATAGACTCAACACTGCCCATAGACTCAACACTACCCATAGACTCAACACTGCCCATAGACTCAACACTGCCCACAGACTCAACACTACCCATAGACTCAACACTACCCATAGACTCAACACCGCCCATAGACTCGACACTGCCACCATAGACTCAACACTACCCATTGAATCAACACTGCCCATAGACTCAACACTACCCATAGACTCAACACTGCCCATAGACTCAACACTGCCCATAGACTCAACACTACCCATAGACTCAACACTACCCATAGACTCAACACTGCCCATAGACTCAACACTGCCCATAGACTCAACACTGCCCATAGACTCAACACTGCCCATAGACTCAACACTACCATAGACTCAACACTGCACCATAGACTCAACACTACCCATAGACTCAACACTGCCCATAGACTCAACACTGCCCATAGACTCAACACTGCCCATAGACTCAACACTGCCCATAGACTCAACACTGCCCATAGACTCGACACTGCCCATAGACTCGACACTGCACCATAGACTCAACACTACCCATAGACTCGACACTGCCCATAGACTCAACACTACCCATAGACTCAACACTGCCCATAGACTCAACACTGCACCATAGACTCAACACTACCCATAGACTCAACACTGCCCATAGACTCAACACTGTCCATAGACTCAACACTGCCGATAGACTCAATACTGCACCATAGACTCAACACTACCCATAGACTCAACACTGCCCATAGACTCAACACTGCCCATAGACTCAACACTGCCCATAGACTCAACACTGCCCATAGACTCAATACTGCCCCATAGACTCAATACTGCATCATAGACTCAACATTGCCCATAGACTCAACACTGCCCATAGACTCAACACTGCCCATAGACTCAACACTGCCCATAGACTCAACACTGCCCATAGACTCAACACTGCCCATAGACTCAGCACTACCCATAGACTCAACACTACCCATAGACTCAACACTGCACCATAGACTCAACACTACCCATAGACTCAACACT